CACCGAGGAATCGGAAGCACCAAGTTTCGTTGATAGTGCTTGTCGACGATAAAGCAAGCAATAATTCATTATTCACCGCCTTCGGTGCTTTTGCAGATAAGTTTAATGAACGTATTATCAGGACTGATTGAAAAATTGTTACACTCCTGGTATTATCTATATTACTTATGCAATAAACCAAAACCATATAGCTCTATACATGCGTGATGCATATATAACACATAAACTGTCAGACACACACACACACACACACACACACACACACACACACACACACACACACACACACACACACACACACACACACACACACACACACACGCGCGCACACACGCGCGCGCGCACTGTGTGTCAACCGCTCGTGACGTATACAGTGTATAATCTTGTAAAATGAATGTAATCATTGAGAAATAGACGTTTTGAAGAATTTGTAATTTCTTAATAATTGGATATAATGGAAATGCATAGTGACTGGCAGGTACGTAAGGAGCTTCGACTTTCTTATCTGTTTCCATGGCAACAAAACGAAATAACCAGAAAATGAACAAGTCAATTATGGTAGCATTATTCGAAATAGACCTAAGTAATAATATAGTGTAATGAAAAGTGAAATAAGAGCAAAGATAGGGTGTAAAATCATATTTAACTAATACGAGGGTAATTGGTTAAGAAATCTATAAGATTTGAACGAATAAGATTACGAATTCAGTAGGAAAAATGGGGCTATCGACTGGGGCTATCGAATAACCTTCGAAATTCCATTGGGGGTTATTTATAAAAGAATGACCTACTATCCGTACTAGACGAATGAATAGAGCTTCTAATCACATGATTTAAACATGGTGGCGATGGAAAACGACGTCGACGAGGGGAAAAGAAGACGATTTAATAATTTATTGGGCGATGCAGCCCTGTTTATTTAATACCATGTTACCCTCTGATAGGGGCAGAACCAGTCGCGAAATTGTCCTTAGTGACTAGTATTATTTCAAGAGTAGTATTAACACTATTAAGCAGAATAATGTAATGGGAAATTTGTCAACATGTTGAGTTCAATATCCAAGCAACGTGCAATCGTTTCAAAAACACCTACGGGAGTAAATACAAAAGTAATGGTCGTAAACAGTTGTACTATGCAGTTGAGACAGACGTTAATGAGAGGCATCTATAAAACTCAGGCGAGTTAATTGTAGTTTCTTTTCTTCATTGAATTCTGCGCAAGGCATCTAGAATGGAATATGCACATATGGAATATTCGTCAGTCAAACTAGAAATTACACCACGTAGTTTCAGTTTGTTTACATGTTTAAACCTTGAATATCAGTCATGTTTTCGTTCAAAAAACTCACTTGCATTACCACACTACTATCAAACTATATAAGGCTTTTATCTATGTGCAAATGTCTGATCAAATTGCAGAGAAACACCTAAAAGAATAATAAATATGCGACAGCTAAGCACGTCTAACATTGATTGAGTGCATTAGACTGCATGAGGGCCGTGTGTTTAGCTGCGGTGTTTACCAATGCTGGAAGAAACGAGTGACGCGCCATGTCCGATGCGCCGCGCGCTTCATGCCAGATCGCTGCTAGCTCCGTTTACGTTTTGTTGGGTTTTGAGCACGTTATATCTCAGAAACGGTCACGGTACAAATTGGGAAAATAATAACATGAACGGTTGAGGCCCTTCTCATGTAGACTACAAAGTTTGATTTCATAATATGATATAATTTATATTAAAAGTCACGTCATCTGAAATGAGCTACATTGACTCGACTGAAATGATGGTTGCTGAAATCTAGACAATATGGCGCGAGCCATCAGCATCGGTAATATAGTGTAATGAAAAGTGAAATAACAGCAAACATAGGATGTAAAATTACATTTAACTAATACAAGGCTAATTTGTTAAGAAATCTATAAGTTATAACAAATTAAGTAACAAAAATGTACTGGTAATTCTTGTAACATGTACTTGTAGTAATAGAAGTATTCCTAGGTGTGGATTATCTATAAGAACTATAAAAATTATGTTTACGAATACTATTGAAATGTTATCTCACCGATGGAAAGTAATCTTTGCTGATTTGGACTCCTTACATCTAACAACGTCACAGTTGTATGCACTACAAATCACTGGCATGATGATGGATGGAATATCCAATGTCGCACCCTATATGGCCATCGCAATATGCACAAATGCACTCTGCTATATATATATATCCTCTAACTATCACGTGATAATGAGAAACATGCGAACATCACACAGTTAGGGTTAAGGAGCGTTAAGATGGATACGGGAAGTTGAAGCGGCAGTGACGATTCCCGCGCTAGACTAGTACCGACCTACACTCAGCCAACTATCGTTGGCTACACTCAAGTAAGTTACGCTAGCGTGTGGAACTCTCCACCGCGCAGCAGTCTAGCTCAGTCAGCCATAGGATTTAAAAAAAAAACTACTAGAAAAGGATGTGTACATGGACTCGTTGCGCCATCTATGGGTCGCGATAACTTCGAAATTAATGTCAGGGCATGAAACAGCCAAAACGGTAAATTCTTTTTCTACACGAAAAGGACGTGCGCCGAGCCGGAAACCAACAATAACGAGCATTTGTATAAACGCTCTACCTACGTGCGGAGTGAAAAGGGTTCTGGAATCGCCACAACTGCTCAATTGAGCGATTATGGGCTTTTTATGCTCTCCCGGAGGGAACGCAGAAACTGTGTTGGAAACAGTGCAGCAAATAAGATTCAGTGTCGCCGCCAGGCGGCGTTGTTTGCGCTTCGCGCGGATCCGGGCTGCCAATCGTCCAGAGGAGAGACCGGATACTAGAGAGGCGATGCGCAAAGGAAGCATTGATCCTGACCGCCGAGCGCGGATGTTGCGCGCAGTTCCGCGGCAAGGCGCACGCGACCGCGGGAACGTGCTACGATAGTATTGGGTGCTGGCAGCTATGCATCTGTGCGCCAAATCCATAGGCCGGCGCACGGATGCATAGCTCCCAGCGCCTGATACTTTCGTAGCACGTTCCCGCGGTTGCGTGCGCCTTGCCGCGGAACTGTGCGCAACATCCGCGCTCAGCGGTCAAGATCAATGCCTCCTTTGCGCATCGCCTCTCTAGTATCCGGTCTCTCCTCTGGACGATCGGCAGCCC